GAGGATCCCCATGAGTCACACTTGCAGCTCCGCTTATTCGGTTGGTTTGTTTCTGGAACGGCCGTCCCAGTGAGACGCGTGGTTTTGCAGAGCGTGCAGGCTGCAGCAGGACACGTCTGTCCCCCTCGGGGCCACCTTGCAGGCAGCGCCGCGTGGCTGCGGACATGGTTGAGACGTTTCTGAACCTGGAGGATGCGATTCTGAACCACGAGGAAAGCCTTGTCGGAGAGATGAGGAGGGCTGTGGTGGAACCAGGCGGTGGCACAGCAGCAGCAGCTGCCTCCAAGGTGGAGAACACAGCACGAATGTCCCCAACGGTTTCTGACACGTGCCTGTCACTGAGCTGAGCTCGTCGTGCTCAGGGCAGCGCCAGCCTTCAGCCAGGCGGTGCCCCCACAGCAAGTGCCAACACGTTTTTTGGGGGCAGCTGCTGCCTTGGCCTCTGTGTGCAAATCGAGGTGCGTGGTGCTGCTGTTGTCCTAAGCCCACCAGAATCTAGCCGTCCAGCTCAAATCAATAAGGGAAGTCTACTTAAATACAACTCAGGCTGCTCCGCTGACTTCGAAGTGGCAGAGAGCCTCTTTGCCTTTCCCTGTGTGTGAATGCCAGTCAACGCTGGCTGATAACTAGTGTGAATCAGTCACCCCGTTGCATGATGCCCGTCAGTCTCAGATCAGTGACCATGAGCAGGAGGGTACCTGTCTGCAGCGCAACCTTGATCCTGGAACACGGTGATAAGAAGTGGCCATTTCCTACAGAGGAAAGACAGTTTTAGAATAACTCAGAAGCATCAGCAGACTGCCCTGAGCTGTGTTACTAGAAATAAGGGACCAAAACTGAATGAAGGAGCATGTAGTTTGAGCATCAGCAAAATTTTCCTATTCCCATGATCTCTCAGGCTGCAGAAATCCCCCAAGGAGCATTCCCTGCCATGGGAATCAATTGAAATGGAAATGGCAATTACACGTTTGAGAGGAATCCTTCTTTGGCAGGGAGACGAGCCAGGCAGCACAGCACTCCTTCCTCTCTGACTTAGGTGCCTCATACTTTTTTGTGTGTGTGTTTTTTTCCCCCCCTCAAACTATACACACCATGGTTGAAGTCTTCAGATTGCTGGAAAGTTTTGAAGAAGGATTTTCCCTTGCTTATCTAGCTGCGACGCAGTCAAGACTCAGTCTGGGTATGTCGTTCATGCTCCTGGCAGTCGTGCCGGTGTTTGGAGATGTGCTGCCTGTGAAGGCAGGTTTGTGCTCTCGCAGGACCTGGTGTCTGCTGGAGCCCATCCTGCCAAAGCCCAGGCTCCGACTCCAGCCCAAGGAGGAGCTGAGCGGCATGGTGAAAGCTCTCGTTCAGTCTAAATGTGCTAAAAAGTGGGGCTTTGGGGGGAAAAAAAAAGAAAAAAGAAGAGAGGCCATTTATAAACAGTGCAATTTAGTTGGCGAGGTGCTTTGTTTTCCTTTGGCTGTTGTGTTGGATATTTGTGGTTGGATAAGAGTTTGCCTTTTCCTTCTGCTGAATCTCCCAGAGAAGCTGGAGCCCTGTGTTTAACAGCACAAATTCTTGCCGCAGGGAAAAATACTTACAGGGAGAAATCTGTTATCTACAGTCACATCTTTGTTAGTCATCAGCTTTTTCATACTGCATTTGATAATCTAGTGAGAAAGAAACAGTTTGTGTCGTAAACGATAGGTTTTGTGGTTTTTCCAGACATAAAAGACACTATGGAAAATAACTGTCTTCCAGTAAAGATTGTCAATGAATAAAAAAAAAAAAAATTAATTGGCAAATTTTCTGTATATTTTCTTTTCTTTTCCATGTCGTTCTTCAAACTTTATGTTGTTTCCATTGGAAGCTGCGATTGGGGCCATGATATACAGTAAATTACAAGTGCTGGCTGCAGGCGGGAATGAGCATCTTTTGGATTTTGCTTTTTAGCCAGAAAAGAAAGAGAGCAGCTGCTCTTAGTGATTTCTTGTTTTCTGTCTCTGCTTTTGCCTTGCTCCACGCCAGTACATGTACCATGCGGTGAAAGCTCCTGTGTGGGTACTGAAGGATGCCACTTCTTCACCCTGCCAACCCTCCGAGCTCCTTGGAAACTACTTCTAATGTAAACATTATAAAGATATTGCTCAGTACTGCTAATTTATCACTTCTACCAGATGGGTAGTAAGTAGCCTATTAACATTCACAAAGTGAGTGTCCAATTCCTTCACATTTCTAAACACATCACCCTGGGATTCCTAAGATTTATGGCGTGGAGTTTTCCCATGTTCCGAGCCCCTCCGAACGGCCATTAGACTTGCGGAGGTGTGCAGCGCCTGACGTGCAGCAGCACGAGGTGGCTGACAGAAAATACCCTGTGCGGGTGGGCTTGGAGGAAGGGAGCATGGATTTGCAGGATGTCAATCCCACAGAGTGTGAACTCTGATATTTCTTTCTTTTTAATGGTGTGTGTAAAATCCAAACTGTGTTGATACACCCAGGTATTCCTGTTAGGGTGAGGAGCATTATGCCGTCATGGCTGAAGCGGGTATAAGGTCAAATATGAAAGTTTATGGTGGAAGAATGGGGACGAGGGGTTTATTTGCTTCATTACTTGGAGGTCTGTTAGAAGATGAGCAGGTTTTTGAGCCCGGCTATCTACCTTCGATATTGCCATTTTCCTAATAACACCCCTCTCTCCAGCTCACTTCTTTTCTCCCCCTCCCCCAAATCCCAAGCCCCTTTGTCTGCCCCACAGAACAACTTCTCTGTCTTTATGGGATAATTAGTGTGGACAATTGCTGCTTTTCCCATTGGGTTTGAGGTTCAGTGAGCCATGAAGGAATCTGTAATGACATGAAAAGTCACTGGAGGCGCGGATGGTGGCTGAATAGCAACAGTTACCTCTCTGAATAGATTAAATTAAAAAAAATAAAGCTTTGTGTTCAGCTGGGGGAAGGGAGGATTCACTAATCTTTTTGTCCATGACAATGTGGTCTTGTATCTCAGCAGCTCAAGGAAGAAATCAGGCGGGGCTTTGCGGGACTGGAGGACCCATTGGCCGGACTCCTGGACATGCTGGAGAGCAGCGGAGATTGGAAGGGGAAGGGGCATTCCCTCGGGTATTGCATCACCACTGAGTTGCAGCTTTGGATAAAAGAGCATCCTGCTGTTCAACAGGTTAGAAAAAGAGAGAGCAAGAGAGCTGGGAGAAGGGAGAGGGCGATTGATTTTCACGTCCCTCAAGTGTCCCCAGTGTCACTTTATTCCACTGTCCAGCTTCTTCTCTGTAGTCTTGCACAAACATGGTGTGACAAGGTGTGAAATTCATACTGAGATGTTATCTGTTGTACACTGGCCTGAAAATGAATTCATATTAGAAGCTGTGATGCGGGAGCTCTGTTTCCCGTTCCAAGCTGGGATTTCCATCTTTCCAGATCAAACCATTTTGATCAAGCGTTGATCCTGCAGCCTTTGCTGGGCTGGAGGCTCTCCCGCTGGAACTCACGTCCCCGCTGTCAGGATCAAACCAGTTGCAGAAATCTACTCTGCATATTCTTCCAGTTCTGCAAATAGAAGCCAGTTACTGTACGATTGCTTAACTCCTGCCATATGGTGGGGAGCTTTTATCATCGGGAATGCAGAAAATGGTAACAGTCTGACTTTTCAGCAGCTGAATGATTAGCTTTGTAACGTTGGGTCATCAGATTATACGTCCTAATGTTTACCATTCCTTCTGCCTTCATATATTCTGACCTACTGAGATTTCCTCTTTTTTTGTATGCTTTGTCTCTGAACTGCAAGACACTTTTATATTTGTGTTGTTTCATTTCCCATTTTTCCAAATGGCTCTTTTTAGATGTTCAGCTCTGCCATTGCAGTATCTGCAAAGTGCAGCAAAGTGCTACTGGCACTGAAATTCCTGTTGTAAGAGAACGATTGTGTAGGAACACAAGGATTAATACTTGTATCTCTGCATCTTTTGACAATGCTTTTGCTTTTCCTGCCCTTCTTGCACCCAGGAGCAAGCCTGGGAATGAGAATTGAATTCTTATGCCTGATAGGTGATAGGTGAGATCTCCCTTGAGGGGAGTTGTTGGATTCAAAGATTTTCTGCTGGGAACTAGAGGGGAGAATTTCTAAATAGCTGTGTTAGTAAAAGAGGGCATTTTTCCAGTTTCATATTTTACTTTTGCACAAGGCCATATGCCTCTTCCAGAATTATCCCGCAAACATTTAATGTTTTCAAATTGGATGCTGTGAAAAAAATGTGTATCATATTGTTCTGATTTCTGCTTGCAGACTCCGTGGGGAAATTGGAGAATCCCTTCCCAAGGCATTGGCTTATTCCACTGTTTAAACAAGCTGCATTTTCAACTGCCGTTGAATTGTAGCCATCTTTACTAAATCTGTGTTTGATTTTTTGGTTTTGGTTTTTTTTTTTTTTTTTAGTCTGGCATCAAGCTGAAGAAGCTGCAGGCCCGTGTACTCAGAATACTAGCCCAGTGCCCAGCTAATCTTCTTGACCCTCTGATTAGCATTTACCAGCTCCATACAGCAGACCGGAACTATTTGCTTGGACATGTCAGTCATCTTTATCACAAGGGCAATTACAAAGAGGTGGGTCATGTCTTTCAAATAAATTTACCTACCCAGCTCTCTGGTTCTCTGGTAATGTCTGTGTCCTTTTTTTTGGATGCATTTCAATGTGAATTCCATTTCATCGCAGCAGCTGCACGCTGTGAATGGTAGAGCTTAGCGTGGTCTTCCCGTGTACACGAGTAGGCTCTGTTCAACCTCATTTTTTCTAATGACCGAGTACAGAATGCCAGTGAATCCTTCCTCCACCCCTTTTTTGACCTTTGAAAGTAATGGGTTAATAGGGTTTAATTTGGAGAATTTAAGAGGATGGTTGCGTCCTTTTTTGTTTCCTTGTCCTTGGCAAGAAAAGAAGGGATTTTAGTAGTTGGTCATAGACCTGCTGTGCTATCTCCAATCCGCCCGCAGCGAGGAGGGCTTGGAAAATCTCTCTGTTCTCACGTGATTACCCTAACCAAAGGGTTCTCAGTTTGAAGAGTTTCGAAGCCTCTTTACCATTGAGGCTCATATTCAAAATGTGTTACTACTCGTGTATTTGAGTTTGAGTGGCTGACGCTGGCAGGCGTTCACCAAACCCAGAATTTGGTGTTTTACCCTGTGGTTTGGAGTACTCGCAGCATCTCTGGCATCACCATGATGTCTTGGGAGCCTTGCGAGTGTTCTCATGAGCAGACTGCAATACTGTTAATGCTTTTTTTTTTTTTTTTTTAAAGGTAAAAACCATAGGTTTGTTTTTCTCAAAGGTTCACTTTGATGGTCTAGAACAGCTTGATCTTGTTTAACAAAAGAAAAAAATCGAACAGCATTTTAAAAATCCTATTTAAATCCTATTCTTCAGTAAAGCCTAATTCCCAAGTGAGATCGTGGAATTCCATTCTTGTTGATTTCTTTGAAAACTGAAACAAGGATATTTCATATTTGATTAGAAGGTCACAGGTAGCTGCCTGAAACGTACTCTTTTACTTAAGAAGTTTCTGACCACAATTGTTTGAAAATCCTAACAGAAATGTAGTATTTGACTACATTGAAGTGTGATTTTTAAGTTCATGGCTCCAAAGATATTTATTGTTGTCATTAGAAATGCAGTTCTTTCTAGATCTGGTTTTGGAAAGCTCTAAATGTTTTTTGGTGGAATTGTTTTTCTGTTCTTTCTTCCACAGAAAAGCTCATTTACTAGTCATTCCCAGTGTGAAGAACAGGAAACCTCAACTGTTGCTTACCCTCAGTCATAACTTTCTTCTAGTTTTGTTTTGTTGCCAGAAGGATGAATAGAATTATCTTCAAGAATAACAGGAAATGTTTTATTCCCCTTGGGACCTGATCATACCTAAGTTCACAGCAACTAACCCCAAAAAACCTGGAACAACGGCTCTGAGCACTTGCAGTGGGCTGTGGCGTGTCGGCTCATCCTCCTCTTCCCTGTCTTTTAGATGGGGCAGCAAAGCAGATTCACGTGTAGGATTTTTGTCTCTTCTGTCTCTCACCTGAAAGGACAGAAATCTTTATAAATCCTTCCTGTCATTCTTTATTTTCTTGCCGTGTTTACAGTAAGACGCCAGACATTTATTCTAGAGCTCATTATTCCCTTTGCCTGTTTTGATGTATTTCCTACTGTGGAGTGCGAACCATGGAGGTGCCTGGCTCTACCTGTGGGTTAAGGCTCCTTGCCCTCACAGAGGTTTTGGAGACAAATCTCTTCAGAAAACGAGATCCTGGGGACGGCCGTGGCGGTTATTTGTTTCTGAAGCACGTCTGGCCTTCCCTGTATGCCTTGTTTTAGTAGAGCTGGTCAAAAGCTGAACCAGTTTGTGAATCGCAGCAGCCGGGAGTTGGCGGTGAGGTGCGGGACAGGCTGCAGGCGTCCTGGGGAGCCGGAAAACCGCTGGCTGCGGACAAGCGGTGGTGGGCTTGGTGAGGTGGCACGGGTGGAGGTAACTTTATTCTGATTTAGCAGCGCAGAAGAGCGGCCGTGAGGAGGAGGCACCTGATGGGAGTGCTGGCCAGCGGATGGCACTAGTGCTCCCACCATGCAGGAAAACAAGCTGATAGAGTGAGAGTTAAAGGAAAAAGCAGGGTATGTAAGTGGGGTTTTGAGGTGTCTGGCCTCTTTGGGGTTTTTAGCCATTCTTTTGTGAATGGCATTTGCAGCTGCCGGAGGAGTATGGCGGTGTGGGGCCTTGTGGGGAGTCCTGGAGCCGCGCAAGGAGCTCCCGGGTCAGCTCCTCATGGCCTGCGTGGTGCAAAGAGGCAGAAGGGTTTAACATTCCCGCTGAGATAGCTTCAGGTGAAACATGGCGGCTTTGTCCCCTTCTCAGAAGCTAGCCGGAGCCACAGCTCCATGCTGCCCTCAACCCAGGCTGTCCTGGGCCGTGCTGAGCTCGGCCGCGCTGCCGGGGCGGCTCTGTGGGAAGGGCGATGGCTGCTGGAGAGGCCGGGACAATGCAGGGATTCAGCAGACCGGGGGTAATGCAGCGCGAGCGAGTCTGTGAGAGGCCCTGAATGGGCCAGGCTGTGCCGGAGAAGAATGAGGGGTAGGCAGAAGGCAAGCTAGTGTTTCATGGTCATCTTGTGTTACACTTCAGCCTTTCAAAGAGTGTCTGGGGCTGGTTGAATGAACCTCTCTTGCACCGCGAATGCGGGAGCCCAAAGACAAAGGGGACTCTTGTCACTCGCAGGCCCCTTTCAGGAATAAAAGCCATTGTCGCATGAACAGGGGCAGTCTGGCAGGCTGTGCATGCTTCAGTGCCCCATGATATCGCTAAGTCTCAGCAGAAATCACATTCAGGGCCCTGTCAGCTTTGATTAGCGGGGTCTCATGACTTAATGTGCTGCGATATTTCATGTCTAAGGGTGGCGGCTGTCTTTCTGTGGGATGAATGCCCTCTATTGTCCACTGAGTTATTTTATTTACATTTTTTTAAACAGCTTATAAAGGTAAAAAGATAGCTGTGCTTAAAGAAAAAAAAATCAAATTCCTTTGCTTCTGGATCAGTAGTGAGTGCTGCTCGGGTCAGATACAGTGAAACTTGTTTTCACAGTCAGCATCAAAGTTCTCGTCGTGTTTAACAGCTCTATAGTAAATTCTGAACAGGTGGCAGTGGAGCTGGGTTTAGGAAGGAAACAATAAATAATCTTTTTAGCCTCTGACAACCAGAAATATTCTTGAGCCTGAGAGAGCTCCCACTCCAACTCCTCTGTATCGGTGACTAGCAGCATTTTTCTCCTCTTCACCAGTTCGGTTCTTAAACAAGAATATTGGATTAAGCTATTAGTGGGACAGGGAGTATTTAATTTTTAACAGCGTTTTTGGTTGTTGTCCATCCAGATTTCTCTGTTTTCAAAAGCAGAGTATATTTTTCCTACTAATATTTCATCCATTAATTTTCTACAAATAATGAAGGTTGAGTCTAGATGTTACATTCAGTTAATGTTTGCTCGTTCAATTAAGATAATGTGGATTATCTATTAAAATTCAGTTGTTAAAATTTGTCATAAAATAAATTTGAGTACCCAGAGAAAAAGCTCCATAGACACAGAATTCAGATTTTTTGTCAGCAGTACGTACTACTACGGAAGTAATTTGATCATTCGGTAGAAAGGATGGTTGACCGAGGAGTTAAACTTGAATACAAATATGCTAAAGTGTGGAAATGTTCAATCACTAACATGACTGTCAATTTTCAGTGTAGCCATGTTTCGAACACCAATTCAGGGATGTTATTGTTTGTGGTCCTACTTCATAGATGGTGCTTGAGTACACATGGTGTATTTTTGCAAATCTATTGATACAGATCAGCGTTAAGATTGATTGAGCACATTAATGGATCGTCACATTTTGGATTCCTTCACTCTGACTTTTTTGAGCTGTTCTCAGGACAGTAAAACCGTCTCTGATACTACTTCACCACCTTAATTAGAAAGGCTTGTTCACCTCTTACTATATTTAAAGTGTGTGCATTTGAATTTCCTTGTTTCTTTTAAAGGAAAAATAATAATCAATAAGTAAACCAAGGAAAACATAACATGGCATGTTTCTCATGTAAAGATGATGGCGTCAGTCTCAACCCTTTTTTCCTACTAACTTAATCTACTGCCAAAAGACAGCTTCAGTGGCACGTTGCCTGCTAGATTCATGCCACTCTGGAACAGAGGTAGCCAGCCTGTGGGCCATCATGGACCGCTGTGCTGCCTGCTCCCAAACACCATGTCTGCTGGAGCTGCCTCTGCTCTGGGCGTCTGTCTGTTGAAGTGGTTGGGAAGGAGCTTGCGTGTTGCTGGGAAATAACAATTCGGATGGTGGTATTCTGCTCCTAGTGCCAGCATTCCTGGGCTCTCGTCAAGCAAGCGAGCTCTTGGAGAAGAGATGTGGAGGTCCTGCAGATCTAGCCTGGATCTGGTGAAGGTGGGAGGCTGGTGTGCACAGGAGACTTGGGCACTGCTCTAGAGGATCCTCATCCACGGACCAGTTAAACCAGGTTTAAAACTGCTGTGGGTGACCTGAGGAAGACAAATCACCCAAGTGTTTGTTTCAGTTCCCTCTTCCCTTCATCTGGGCACACGCATATTCCAACCTTGACTTTTACTTCTCTCCCTCTACCTCAAATTCTTTAGATATGAGTAACCTGTCACTACTTCATTTTGATGGTCTCACTCCTTACAAAATATGTTCATGCTCTCTTGAAAGTGGACCTGGGAAATCTTGTGCTTTTCTCGTTTCTGAAGATCTTCCTGAAGACAGCTGTGTATATTGTATGCTCTTTAAGCAGGAAGTAATTAAACATCTAACCTGATTAGCCACAAGTTTGAAATGAGTGATTCCAAAACACAAAACAGATGTTCCCAATGATTAATATGTGGTGTGACTTTTACTCAATTATTTCTACCATTATTATGTATCCAGGCTGTGATTTTCTTAGACTTGACGTTGAATCCTCCTCTGCAAAGTCTCGTTCTGTTGTGTGGTCTGTTCTATGGGTTTTCAGAAATTCCGTCACCGTTGCTTCAGAAATACTACCCTAAGTCAGGCACAGGCATATTTACCTTTGTGTTGTCCCAACTTGCTTGCAGCACAGCTAAGTAATGCAGGAGTCATCAGAAACCATTTGTGTCTGTCCTGCATCATCACTCCAAGCATAGCTACTAGCAAAAGGTTATTCCTCTGATGCTAACCCCACCGTGGGAAAATTGCCTAAATTGTCAGTGTAGACACCACCCAAGTGCACATGCCCTTGCAGATAAGATCTTGTGTGGCTTCCTGCACTTCGTACTGTATATGGAAAGAATAGTCATTTTTAGATGAGACAGAGCCAATTGCATTCAAAACAAGTAGAGAGGATCAGGTATTGGTGCAGGGTGCTGTGGGTTTGTGTGTTCACTTCAAAACACTCCCCATTTTCCCATACTCTTGTTTTTGCAATCGCATGACTAGAAGAGTGGTCTGGTGCTTGTGGCTTGGCCTGAACGCGTCAAGTTTGGGTAACTTCCCCTATCCTGTGGTCAGTGCACCTACATGCATTTTAGACATAATTTAATGTAGTATTGCCCAGCTTTGAGTTCTTCCCCATCCTCATCCAGCCCACCTTTGCGATATTTTTAGGCGTTTATCCTTGGGAAACAAAACCATTACAAAATGTCCAAATATGATTTTTGCTTTCACTATAATTAAATCAAAGAATGACCCAAAGCTCCCCAAGGACAATGAGACTCACAAACGTTGCTGGGATTTGACTCAGGCAATGGGCCATCGCCTCTTCTCCTGTACTAAGCAGTGGCTTCATCGTGTACCTGTCCTGTACATGCTTGGGGGATGCAAGGCAAGAGAGGGACCAGCCTTTCCCGTATTTCTGTTATGACCTGAGGCAGGAGGGTTGTAGTGTAAATTAAACAATTTCATGTATGGCAATAACACTGATAGTGCTAATTATTTGTTGATACTGGATTACATGCTGGAAACTCTCTATGCATGAAATATATTTTTGTGAAAAGGCTACTTGTACCACCAGTCAGGGCTAGAGCATGTTCTCTTTATAGTTTGAGGGTGAGTAGCCCCTGGTGACCAGCTGACAATATGTTAGTGTTCACCAGGGCTTTTCCATCTTCCTGCCCCGTAGCAGGATTTTTGCTCCCATTGATCAGCCGGGGAAGTGGGGGAGGGATCTGCTGCTTGGGGTTTTCGTTGCGCTGCCAATCCAGGGTCTGGGTCTGAGGATCTGCAGCTGGATTTCTGTAATTG